CATTTGTGGGAAAAGTGAATCAATATATACTGGGTAGTGGGTGGAGGAAAGATGCTGGCTGTTGTACATTCAGAAGTAAATTAACTGTGATAGCCAAAAGCTTATTTTGGGGTGACTGAAAAAAGAAACTCAGTTCAAGAATGCAAGGAGAGAAAAGCAAACTAATAAGCAGGCTAAAGGATGTGGTGGAGGCTTTTAAAATAGATTTCAAACAACACTGTAAGGCTGTGGCAAACTCATTACCGAATAATTACAGTGGTTAAGAGAGAGGTGAATGAATCTGGCTCACAACTTTGGAAGTCTAGACTGAGATAGGACTGGAAATCGGTGATATTGACAATTTTTAAAGATTGTGCTATGTATGCAGCAAACACCACAGATGTCATAGAAATAAAAATATTGTTAAACAGCTGTTTAAAATATATCTCTAAACCCAAGGTTTAAGTTTCACATGTCAAGACTTATTGAGTTCTAAGTACTACTGATTTATGGTGCACAACTGTAACTTCAATCATTAGAGTACAACCAACCCACTATGGCTTGCTTTGCCATTCTTTGGCAAAAATGTAATTCTTCCAAAGGAATACAGACCGGGTTCGAGGTTTTGTTCAGGAGAAAATAACTATGCAGTTATTATCTTCTAAAAATATTCTTGGTGTATATGCTTTCCCAGAATACTCTGTATATTCCAAATGTCCAACAGCAAAGAAATGCTCTAGCAATCAATTCCAATAATCAGGGAAAATAGTGTAATTTTCAAAACAGGCCTACTGCTTTGTGAAGCTATAAAGGCCCAGGTGCTGTAGATTCCCAACCAAATTACAGAGTACGTTGTAGGGATTCAGTTTGGCTGTCTTGGGTATCTTTTAAATGGACAGAATTTAAGATTTAAAAAGGCCTGTTGAGGTAAACTCGTGGATAGAATTTAAAAAATATATACTCCCCAAATTAAATGCTTAAAGGAGTTACAAAGAAATACAACTTTTGCGGATATAATTTCTATTATAGAGTATAAAAATAACATAAATCAGACATTTTAAATAATAGACTTAAGGGAGCAGGAGCCTTTTCAGAGGGACAAAGCCTTTGTGAAACGGTGACCTCTCTACAGAGTCATGTGGGTCCGTGGCTCGACTGCTATTCATCCAGCTATTATTTACCTCTCTGTGAGGTGAACAATAACTGAATTTCAGATTCTTCAAGATCATTAAATCCACAATAACAGTTGTTGTCAGAAGTAGAAGACTCCTATAGAGATGTAACAACCAAACAGGGAAACTCTTTTCAAGGCTAAAAACACAGGTGCTAGGTACAAATTACACAATGTATCAGACTGGCAATTTTCACGTCACTTTGTTAACTGTGGCAGTCTGTAACTGTGGAGTACCTTTTATGCCTGTGTTCAGCTGCAGAGCTGAACAGGGTTTCTCCAGCTCACTCGTATCTCTCTACTCGCAAATAATGAATGTCTAAACCATTAATTATTACACCAGTGTTTAAAGTGTACTGTTGCCCTTTGGCTGAGAGCTCCTTGATTTTCAGGCCTCACAGCAGGTCAATTTCCATTGTTGGAAAGGAATCAATGTCAGAGAGTTGGCTGCCATGCAATTTATTTGCATCATGTACATATTTCTGTATAGATTATGTACATGAGTCTTGACATAAACAGCTCTGAAAACCTTAGCTTAGGCATGCTAAGAAGCTACAAGAAACCTCTTTGTTGCCGTCCCTGCAGTTCTCCAAGTACCATCCCATCTATTATGAAAGTAGGTGACACATCCACTTGAGCAATTGCACATTCAGAGAGCAGTACTAAAATTCATTGTCAACTCATTAAAAATATTTTTCTGTTGACCTACTGCATGCCAGCATATGTATAAAAATATGCACAATAACTGATATTATGAAGGTGTGTGTGTGGGAGGGGGGTTGGTTGTTGTATGGGTTTTTTGTTGTTTGGGGGTTTTTTTTGTGTGTTTTTGTTTGTTTTTTTTTTTAAGGGAGAGGATTGAAAAGGAAAATGGAATGTATTATTTCCAGATTGCAAGGAAATTCAAATATGGGACTCCACGAGTGGCCCTTCTTCCTCTGAACAAGGATTATTTTAACCCTGTAACAGCTCAGGTCTGCTAAGGAGTCCTTTATTCCAACACATTTCTGTGAAAGGACATGGTTATCCCACTGAAGAGGAAGACCGAAAGACCTAGTGATTGAGCTGTTGACTTCAAAAAAATACAGTCCCCCTGAGATTTAGGATTTTACTGGTCTGCTAGTTCTCTTGTCTTCCTCCCTGTTACCTAAATAGGAGATACTTAGTTTTTTGACAGAAATGAACTGGAAATATTAATTCACGTTAGCCACAGATGTTTGGAACTTGAGCTAGAAAACTTGTGAATGTTATCTTCTTGGTTGATGACAGCAGCCCATCAGAAAAATACCATCATAAATAAAAACCAAACATTAACTTGTGGGTTAAAGCAGACAGTTTGGCTCTACCAAAACCAGGCAAATTCTACCCTAATATTATAAACATTCTATAGGTTGGGTAAACATGTCTGAAATTAGTATGCAAAAGAAAAATAAATAATCTCAAAACAGACTCAATTAAAATGTATTACAATAACCATAAATGATTTAACACAAACATACGTTATGTTTATTCCTTTCCACTGAATAACAGTAACTGGCATGAGGAATACACTTTTGTTTTTCTCTGTGCTGTACAATCCCCCACTCTGTTCTATTTCAATCTAAATGGCAATATGGCAATATTAAATAAATGTAACATTTTGATTGACAATCCAGCATAACTGGCATTATAGAGATGGATGAGTGAGTGGATGGATGGATGGATGGGCAGGTTTTATTAAGCAATCCAGCCCTTGCAGAAAGGGAAACAAAGACTGGTAAGTGAAATACAGAGTTTATTCAACTGCTCGCTTAAGGGACAAATTATATGCAGCCTACATAGTATTGTCAGGGGTAAGAAGTGACAGCAGAAGATAAACTGGAAATTTAGGATTATTCATTTATGTGGAATGAATAAAAAATATATCAAAACAGGCTTAATAAAATGCAGTGTCTGTTTGAAAATTAATTAGAAATTTATTCAAAGTGACTCTGAAGTAAAATTATTTTGATTCCTAATAGGAAGAGAAGTTGAAAATATTTTCTAAAAACCACTGTCCTGGTTCAAAAGACTAAAGTTTAAATCGCTTCAGTGCAGGGTTTCAGTTTGAACTTAACACTGCCCTCTTGTGCTTCTGCCTTAAAATACATTCTCCTTTACATCACAAGATACATGAAAACCAGAAGTCAGTTATAGACAGAAATGCAGTCAGTAAGTGCAGTTTGATTTTTTTTTTCAGTTTGATTTTTTTTTTAAAAAGGAGGTTCAATGAAATAAGATGAATTGTTTTAAAAGTCGTCATCTCAATCTCTAGTATGGCATTTCTCTTATACTGTATGAAAAAAACAACATTGGTTACTAGTTTTGTCTCAGTTAAAATTTCTTACAAATTCCTGAAATAAGTCTCTGCAATTTTTCTAGTCTACTTACTCTTTGGACTAAGATTACTTAAATTTTCCATATGTGTCAAGACCAGCATAACAAAACACAAACAACAAATACCATTTGAGAAATAAAACAGCCTAGCATTCAGGTACAGGATAAAATTACAGGCATGAAAGAAATAATGCATGTCATTATTTCCATTTTTGAGCAGGTTTTGCTCCATTCTGCAGGTTGCACGTTAGCCACACTGTAGTGCAAGATATCCTGAGAATCTTAACTTCAAAAAGGATTGGGCCCAATCCGCTTTTCACTTTCATCAACACATTCCAAGTCTAACACAATAAACAAAAGGACAGCTGACGTAGAATGGTTTTAAGAGAGAATAGCTTCCTGTATATTTGGCCTTAAAAACACCAGTACTGGCAGAAACTGTCAGAGCATACTCTTTCCAGTAATATATCTGTGACAACCGAAATATAACTTTGCAAGGCACAAACCATGTGCATTTCCACCTTCATCTTATTCCAACTTCAAAGAAAAAAGTCTAAACAAATAAAAACTCCCAAGATTAAAAAAAAAAGTACTCAAACAACAGCATAAACTTCATGTCAGTGAAGATATATCACCTAATAACCTTCTGCAACTCTTCTCAGTGATGTAAAATTTCACGTATCAGTGACATAAGTAAATAACATCCAATACATACAAAATGATACACAGACCAGATGTCCAGTGCTGGTCGGTCTGTTTTCTTCTACCAGAGTACTCACTACTTAAAAAGGAGACAATTTCAGGTGGCAAAAGTTGCTATTTGATACACTGTAACTCTCCTGTCTTCACATAAATGCAAAATACGAAAAATCGTGGAAGAAGCATGTTAGGTGAGTGACTGCAACACTACCTGGTTTAGATAACACTTCAGTCCTCATAAAAAGTCACTGCCAGCATAATCTAGCCTGTCCAGTCATTTTCTGCCCACTACATCTCCAAGATTATGGAATTGATAAGGAGTGCACAGCCACTGTAATTTGAAACAACATTCTACATTTGACATGCATAAGAATATATATATACATATGTACACGATATATATATTACACAGACACATACATACGTGCACATATGTGTTTATGTAAAAGAAATGTATGTCCTGCAGGTCAGTCTTTGAGGCTGCCTGATATTTGTAATATCGTAAAATTAAAATAAGCCCCACATGAACTCAGGTTGCTGATATAGCAGTAAAAGCTGCAAATAGAATGAAATTTATCAAACTGTTCTTATAGAGTACTGCATGGTTATCAGTAAAACATATGATATGTAGTTTTATTTGTACATGTAAACAAATAATACCTGTAAATTTCTGCAGCCATTCAGAGGTCTGCAGTGTTGATACATTCAAACATGCTATATGTGCCTCAGTCTGTTCATTTGATTATGTAGCATTTTATTAAATGAGTTCCTGGTAATAATATTAACCGTGACTTACCCTGGCATTGGTCCATTTCCAGAAAGACTATAAACTTGACGAGGATTTAAAAGGTACTGAAATTTTCTATAAATTCTGAAGAGGTAAAACAGACAAGGACAAAATATTTACTTACATGCTTGAAATTTTTTTAAAGCTATCAATGAAAGAATTAAAGAAGTTAAGACATGCTATAATTATTTGAATTGCAGGATCTCATTTATACAAAAAAATCAAAAGTTTGAACACAGCAATTATAATTCATACATACAATGTATTGTGTGCATAAAATTGAGAAAGAAGTGCTACAAGCTATCTACAATTCAAATGCTGTATATAGACAGAAAAAAAAAGTAGGGTAAGGAGGTATAATGATACAAGAAAAGGTGAGTCAAAAAAGCATTTGGAAGAGCACATTGGTTCCTATTAAAGTAACTTCATTGTAAAGGAGAGATTTATTCCTGAAATTCACTGCTAACACAAAATTACAAGTATAATTAATTGCAAAAGCAAATTGGCTTTGCCACGCACAAAAAATGTCCCCAAGGTTGAACAACATTCTGAGAAAGCAAATCTATTGTCAACTACATCTCCTTTGGATTATTTTTGAATGGGAAGAAAATGAAAAAGATTCAAAATCATTGTTTTACTTAAATTACACATATTTTTAAATTATCTGAATAATAGGAAGCAAGAAAAACGTTGTCCTACCCCACAAGGGACCCCCCATTTGCTGTCCCACCCCCAGCAATTATTCCTTTAAATGGCAGAATATTTCAAAAACTGTAACTTTATCAATTTGAGGTTACTCGTCCTGAAAGTATGACAAACATTTTTTTTCTTCATTACAAATATTAGAAATGTAATTACCTACATTGACTACAATGTGGTAGCTGTTTCCTTTCTTATGTAGAAACAAGTACATGAAAGATTTGGAGCTCAGAATAAATAAATATATACATACCTGGGATCTATGACAATAGTTTAAACTATAAACCCCTGTTTCTTTCTTTTAATTTTAACGTTTATGTCCTCAATCTAATTAATATTTTAATGTTTTTAAGAAAGCATTTATTTTTCCACTGAAATATCTCTTCCTTTCTTTTTACTGCCTTAAGTAAAATAGAACCATAACAAGAGCCGAATTTTAAGTTAAAATGTCCATGTTTTCAAATTCAGCAAAATAAAACTGTCTAGACACAATCTATGTGCACGTTGAGGAATTTTTTTTTTCCTTAATAGTAATGCATAATTATCAGACAAAAGTGTAAGAATACTGAATACAAACAAATTTATAATTATCTCTAAAATTGCCAAATTGGAACATTTTCTTAACTTCTCAATTATTTAGTGATACCAGCTTCTTCATAAAGCTTTGTATTCAAACACACTCACACAATCTATTCGTGATGCGACACCTGACAGAAAAAGTCAATGTGAAATGACTGGTTTCACTTTGCAAGCATGCACACATCATTGTCAATGGTTGCGATGATGACTAAGTCAGACATTTGACAGTGGATTTACAACACAGTACATTTCCATTTCATTTGCAGCATCTTACCAATGTAAAAGGATCCTATTTTTAATTTTCTATTTAGTATGTGTTAAGCTGCTTCTCAGTGACATATAGGATTTAACCTGATCAAAGGTGCAGCCAATTTAATTTGTGTAGCTGACCATAAGAAGGTCATGTATTGTTACAAAGTCCCAAAGGCTTAAGAATTATTTACCTAAAAGTTTGGTGCTACAAAACATACTAGCCATTACCTACACTCACAATACTGATGTCAGGTATCAGTGAAATGATATAAAAGCCTTCTTTATAAAGAGAGAGCTAGGTATCTCTAGCCAAAACCCAGAAGTCCGCCTGCAATAGTGAAGAGATGACATTGAATCCTACTTGATTCACTGCATGCCATTCATAGGTTACTAGTCAAACATCAATACCAGATAATCACTCTGTAATGACTCACTGCAAATGACACATCATGGGTTAAGGTATTATAACGTATTTATGTATGCTAGTCTGTGTAAAATTCGTAACTTGATAGTTCATTTCCATTCACACATTCTACAAAAAAGAGGAAGAAACTGCCTACAAATGTTTGCCTTCACGCTAAACTTAACTAGACCTAACAGCGTGACACATGCAAGACAAGGAAAGGGACAGTAATTTAGCCTTCCAGTTTTATACCTACAGCACCAAATAGCCTATTGATACTGATATGTCTCTGAATGTCTTGCTTCTGCATGTAAGGAAGGAATTGGGCATGGTTTCCTTGTGACTGGAGATTTGTGCAGACAAAGCTACGAGGCATTGTAGTGGATAATGCCCCAAAAGATAGCTTTCTGTTATAGAGTGCAACTTCATGAACGAAGCCAGTTCATGAAATTACCTCTTGTCCCCACCACCTCCAGCTGGTTCTTACCCCACGACACAGTTTATCAACAAACAGTTGTGCTTCTGTAACTGTTTGTGGGATTATTCTGTGATCCGGAAAGCGAAACAGATTCAATTTAAAATACAAATCCTCAGAAAAGTTTCTCTATTGTCATTTTTTCCCTTCACTTAAATCATGCCTGTGATCTCACATGAACCTCAAAATAGTTGCACTAGCGTAACTGAGGAGGCAGGAAATTACAGCCGGAGTGGCCAAGAGGGCTGGCATCATCTTTAAACAGCTCTGCTGCTGAAGAAAATACTCTTGAGTGCACCTTGGGCTGAGTTAGACTGAGCTATCTTCTGAAGTCATAAGATCATTACTTTAGAGAGAGAAAAGACAGACAGACAGAAACCCATTGGCAACTCAAAACTGGCAGTAAAGTTAACTACTGACTGGGGAAGAAGTTGACCATAGCAGTGCCTTGTGCCAACTGGGGAATGCATCTTCAGTCATCTGGGGGGTGACTATTCAAGATGTGGTCAGTATAGGCTTAATCTAACTGTAAAGAAGCCAAGGACTCCTCCCCAAAAGTAAAAGAATGCTAGTGATCTTCTCTCCTAGACATACAACATTTGAAAAAGATAATTTGAAACTGCTTCTACATTTTGTCTCAATGCTAAATGAAAGCTTAGAAAGCCAGATTAATCAGAGGATAGGAGGGAAGAGCTACTCTGAACCAAAGGTATTTGAAAACAACAAAGGTCAAATATATCATCAACCTGTACTGCAGACACTGAATGTGGAGTCAGCAACACTGTACGGAAGCTGATCTCCAGTGCATCCAACCGCACATTTGTCAAGGAAACAATTGTTTAAACTCACCTGCTGGTCAGGCAAATAAATTGGCAAATGGGGAAGTGCAAAACAAAGTAATGAGTATGGCAAAACAACAGCATGATTTAGAACGACTCTTATGTGAGAAGCATTACCCTTAACAATAACAGTCTTTAGAAGCACTACACACTTGTTATATATTCTTTCTGTTGAAAGAAACTATTTTGTCAATGATGTACTAAATATATACATTCTATTCACAGATTATTGAAAGCTGTTGTCTTGATTTGTCAGATCTTAAACGCCGACATACAGGACTGTTAGCTCTAGGATGAAATGGATGTACTGCAGTTTTTTTCTGATTAAATTAACCACACCTGTCCATTTTATGCACAATCACTGAAAACATGTTACAATGTGATATAGCCTGAGGAAGACACCTGACTGGGTTTGCTGAACTCCTATCCAATCTCATGCTTAATTAAAATCTATTTTCGGTGTGTGAAAGGCTTAAACTCATCAACTTTAATTCTAATTTGCTAATTTCTTCTTAATAAACATTGAATTATATTTTTGTTCTTTTTTTATTACAAGCATATGTATTATCCATTGGACTAAATAATTTAAGTCCAAATAACTGTAAATGCATTTATGTTCCAGGTGATGGGCAGTAAGTATTAATCTCTGCACTGAGAAGAAAGTATAACTGGGTTATTTTCATAGTTCTTTATTTTGCAATTATTTCTGAAAGTCATAGCATTGTTTTTTAAAAGAGAAACCTTTTCAAGAAGAAAATTATGTTTATCACTCTACTTTTTGCAAAACTCTGGCTTTTTAACAGAATTGAAGTTTTAAAAGGTATCGATAAGGTAGTTAGATATGGCTGTCAAGAAAGTATTTTTGTGTTCTGAATGCACTTTTTCTACATATGCGTTTGTTTCCCACCACACCTCGGTTCCAACATTCAAAACCCAAAACTAAAGCACCTAACTTTTTTTACCTTGAAGTGATCCTCAGTTCTTTTCCTTTGCATTTGAGAGATTTGAAAAAAATTGCAAAATACAAAAGGAAATGACAGAGTATTATTGGGGGAGTGCATTTGCTCAACTGGTTGTCAGATGGATGCATACGCTCTCTCCAAGTCTAAGGGCAATGAAATGGGCTGGGTTACCATATGGCAAGGCATAAAATCTCATACGGGGAACTGTGGGAACACTGGAGTCTTGACAGTATCTGCAATAACCTTTCTGTGTTCAATGAAAGTCAATTAAAAATCATAAATTCATTCACCGTGATCTCTCAAATACAGAAAATCCCATGTAAAGATTGAAGAATAGGTTTCAGTAAAAGATCACCTTAATCTGAATGAGTCAAGATAATGACATTCTCATCTACAAAAATTAGTAGGTTGTGGTTTGTTTTTTTTTCCCTCACTGCTGTGGAAATCTTACTTTTGTTACAGCCTATCCTCTACTCCTAGCCTCTCAATATCTGACCAGATACAAAATTGCTATAATCAAAAAGCCTGACTTGAATCACCCTAACTGTGCATTTTACAAAGCTATTTATGTCTTCAAATATTCTGTGATTTTACTTTTCACAACATATAACTGCCACAAAATTGGAGGCAAGGGGAAGATATGGGATTCCTCTCCTTCTGGTTACTAACTGTAGAGCAGCCAGATAAAAATCAGGAAAAGTAAAAAAGTTAAATATTATTGTTCCCTGAAAATGTTTTCATCCCTTAGATTAGATCTTCAAGCTAATATGCATTCTTAACATCCTTATTTTATAGTTTTATTATTTTACTGGCATTGATATGAAACATTAATACCTAAAAGGCAGAGGGCAAACCCCTTCTCATAAAATAGTCCATATGTGGAAAAGTACTCCTTTTTTTAACCTTTTTGAATCTAGTTTTAGATCCAACCATGAGATATTATCTCCTGCTGGTGAGTGACTTGAGATACATCTACATGACTACGCAGTTGACCATTTGATGTGCTCCTCCTAACACAGAAATATTGAGTGCAACTTTGACACATTAGTATGCAATTTAATATTTTATTTCATGTGGCATCAAAGACAATTTAAGAGGTTCTCATATGTCACTATACTCAGCTGCTGGTGGATGCCCTCATGCTATACACTTCATTGTGTCATGACACTTCTAGGTAATGGTGTTAGTGAATGAAGCGTGTATAAGGCATCCATTTTTTAAATTCAAATCATTCCTGTGATCTGCTTGGCCCCAGTAACAGTTGCATTAACATAAACTGAGAAGTGTCAGACTGCAATACATGAATGGGAATAGGAGCTTGGGAAGGGGATCAGGTTTTAAACTTGCTTTTACTCTGGAGAATATCTAACATTAAATGACAACCCTTGTGCATTAAGCCCATTCAGATAGTAACACTTAAGACCAATTATGACCTGGGAGCTGAAAGCTGTGAAACAGCATTTCATTAAGTTGTTTCTAGGTTATAAGTAATATGTAAGTGCAGCTCTCTAACCTGCCTCTCACCTACATGATTCTAGACTGGATCCTTGATCTACTCACTTCATATCTGTACTACAAAAAAGTCAAGCTGAGTGCTAGTCTATTACCTTCCACAATGTCCCTGACTGCACAGAAGACCAGGGCTACCTCACACTGCTACTGTGTCTGAAACATGAATGCTTATGATGGCTCATATTGTTTTGTCATGATTGCAAAGGCATGTTCTTTAAACTGTTTAGAATGAATCTTTTAGATCGTTAATTGCCTTTGACACAACTAGCGTTGTTGGCATTGCTGATATCTAGGTATACCAGTCCAGGGATTACGTAATCAGCTCCTAAATGATAACCTGTTCTCTCAGAGGTCTTCGAATGAAGTTTTGGATAAATGTTCTTCAGCTCTGAGAATTCCCCTAACATCAACTCTGCAGGATTTTGTCCCTTTTGTCAGTTTTTCTTTAAGGGACATTGTTTGAAAGAAGTGATCTAACGGAGGCAGTGGGGAAGAGGTAGGGAAACCTGACCCACTAGCAGTTTACTTGCTTGATTCCAAGTTTTAGAAACACACTGGATCCCTCCTTTTGTGATTTTGGGTACCCACATCACCCAGTATCCACAGGTGTCATCTTCAGCCTGATCTTAGCCAAAAGACTGTAACCTTTTTCAAGGCAGCACTGACATTGTAAGATAAGCTATAAAAATCTGGGGATTTATGTGATAATCAAAACCACCCATATTGTTAGCATTTGTGATTCTGAAGTACATTCTGAAAAATCTGCGCAGGGAGTAACTAATTCAGCATTTCTGCCTGAGTTTGATGGACAGAGTAGGAGGAGAATGCTCCTTACCTCTGTTTTATCATGCCTCTGATACACTAACATTTAAACATAAACTTAGGCATTTTGAATTTAAATCAATATAATTACTGACATATATAAAATTAAGCATGTCTTTAAAGTTTGTGTGATTGGACTTTAATACTTTAACTGGATTGTTAGAATGTTTCCTATCTACAGAAATCAAAAGGTTTTTTAACTGTAGAAAATCTTATGGAGAGGCTGGAGAGTCTACTCACTAAATCTTTTAAAGTCAAGTCATACATTAGAAAATGGAATACTGTTTCCAATTTAAACTATTGGTCTGTTTGCATAATTATTACAGAGATTAAAAGAAAACTGTTATAACTTCAAAGTCACAATGCAAAATATAGCAATTCACATCTTCATTCAAATCACACAAAACCATACACTGAATATAGCTACTTTTTCTGATGTGAAATGAAACTGTTGTATAGAAATCATTCTATTTTTTAACTGCAGAATTTGTAACTATATGCTAGTGTGTACCCCTTCTAAACTAGACAATGGGGCATTCAAATGTGAGGCATACCAGTACAAAATGTTGGATTTCTTTTCATATACAAACTTTTAACGTTCATTTTTAAACATATCACAGAGATCAGAATAGAGAAAGAGAGAAAAAAAAAGAGAAGATAAACCTTACCTTTCTCCTTGTTTCCCACCACTTTTAGGATTGACAAAAACTAAAAGTGGATGAGTGCCTGGAACTGGAGTGATCTAAAAGAAGGGAATAACACAGCCACTCATTAATGCTGTGTGTTGCATTCATTTTTTCCTATAGTAGACAGAAAACAAAAAGCTTAATGCAAACTCTATGTTATGCTATGTAATCCAGCTGGAAGCAATTCCATAATTTGCAATAATCCTCACAAATTGCAAGTGACTTTTTTTTTTTTTAATGCTAGCTGTCTGTCTTACAGCTGTGATGCCTTTTTAACCTATAATTCCCTTGAAATATTGATATATATAGGTTACATACATCAGTAGAGAAGAAAACTTTAAATGCAAGAAATGCATGACTGATTCTGACAGTAGAGTAATTTCATATGGAAAAAGCTATGAAGAAACTGTATTTTGTAGTGAGAAATGACACTAAACTATAAAGGTCAAATATAGCTATATGAAATTTTAAACTTGATGGAATTTTTTTTTTTTTTTTAAATAACAGAAACCTGCAATATTTGATGTGATATGAAATCACATCTCTCTTAAAATGTAACAAATGTAACAATAATGAGTTCCTTTAAACACCCCAGAAAGCTGGAAAACTTTAAAAAGTAGAGGAGAAAACATGTGGAAGAAGGACAAGCCTGAGAAAAAGAATGGAGAGGAGAATATACTGAAGGAAACAACGACTTCTACCATGGCTTTTAACTCTTCTGTGCATGGAAAGTTTTGCATATTCACATTGATGTTCAGCTTTACAAACTAACAGCTTCCTTCAAAGTAATAATGTTAGCCTGCACTTTCAGATACTTTAAGATATGAGTGTTCACTGCCTTTGCTCCATAGACTTTGAAGAACATAAAAAAATGACATCAGATGATCTCTCTTTAATATCTGTTTTTAAATCATAAAGCTAGACTATTCATATTAAAAATTATCACTCATCAATTCTAGAATGTTTAAAAGCATATTAAGAGTTCAAAATCAACATCTCCAAAGTCATGCACTAACAACTTCAGAGGTGAAGCTTAGACTGTCTGTTCCAAAATGATACATTGAAAGCTCTTGCTCCAAATTCTTATTCATAATTCCTGAAATAACAAAATCTTTTCAGCTGAAGATTTCATAAAATGTAATTTAAGGCAGAACCTGAGAAACATGACAGCTAAGGAGTCATACAGGCATCCTATCAACATAGGCATATAATCCTATAGGCATCTAAAAGCACTTTTTTTGTAGTAGGAAGTGTAAGGCACTAGTGTGTCAACTCCATCCATAACTTTACAAACAATGGATCCAAATCTGTTCCAATACATAAAACAAACAAGGAAAAACTCCAGCAAACTCGGTGGAATTAAACCTAGCATAAAACCAACCCAGTATCACGTTCTGTCACAGTGTATTGCTACAGTAAAGTGCTGTATGTTGAAACATATATCAAATTGCAGGATACAGTGAAGTCTGTCATATATTTAACTTTTACCTACTGTTTTAATCAATTTTAGTTATTTAGCCAATTCCCACGATGTTTGTTCCTGTGAACTGAGTGTAAACCAACGGTGCTCATTGTGACAGAGATGGACTACCTACTGAAATCCCTTAGGACGCAGGTTAATTAATGAGACTCATCCTAAGGTTATACATGATCTATTACTTCCTCTAATTAGAAATAATAATCCTGATCATTATGCTGGTTAGCTAGAAAGAAGTAAGATGAATGTGCTTAACTATGATTAATTGTCTTTAAGTTGTGCAGATCTCCACTGCCACTAAGTTATCTGCTCGCTGCTGTCTGATGGAAGGAAGGTTTGGTCTTGATACTTTTCTCAACAAAAGCTAAATGATGAACTTATTTCTATTTTAAATCTTTCATTTCAAAATGTAACCATATTATTACACGTAGAAGGTTTAGGACCATCAAAAAAAAAAAAAAAAAAAAATCTAACAACCAGTTTGTATTCCACTCAATTCCAAAATAAGGTCTCTTTCAATTAATTTATTACAGCTTTTCCAAATTACTTCTCCAAATATATTCTCCTTTCCATATAATAAACAATGCAACTAAAGATTTAGACTAAATTGGTGAACATTTTCAAGCCTTAATCTAGCATGATTTAAAGGCAATCTCCATGAAGTTATTGGACAAGTGACTTAAAATTAAAGAAGTAGTAGACCAGTTATATATAGCTTCTCTCATATTGAAAACAGAGGTCTCACAGGAGTAGTATGAAGATTAGCTGGGTATCTTTGATTTGTTATATTGGGAACTTAAATCATAAACAAATGTAATTAACATAATGACCAAGTTTTCTGAATAAAAAAGGTTCCAAAAAAAGTCATAAAAATCCTTTTCTTGTTCTTTGAAATCACTGAAGATCATGTTAAAATGAGACCATGCCACCAAAATTAGAGTATTAGAATTACAGTAGCATGCTTTGGCCAGATATGGGAGAATTAGAGTAGTATACTTTGATCAGCTACAGAAATTTTTTGCTCTAGACCATCTTTCGGCAAAATACTAACATTAATTACCAGTTATATTTATGGAATTTTACATCTTTGTGAAAATAGTTCCAAAATTATACAATCTGTGAGTGAAACAGTCTCACTAATCTCAGCCTTTCACTATAGTATCCTTTGAGACCCACTCAGCCTTCACAAAGATCAGGTTATCATTATTGGTACCGAAAATTTAAGAGTTGGTGAGAAGATGGATTCCTGCTACTCCACACCAATGTTATCCAACAGAGAAAAATAAAGATCACAGTATAATCAGCAAATTAGGGTCATCACTGCAGAATTATTTCTACCGTTACCACTATGATTACCAGTATTACATTGTGCACTACATTATAGATGTGGCATTACAGAACAATATCAAGCACTTCAGAAAACACCTTAAATCCATTCAATAATTATTCTACCATCTTAGTCCTCACTCTTTCTTTCTCTCCTTCTCAAGCAATAATGAATAAAAGCAATGATGAATCCAAGGCTTTGGAAAGCGAAGATAAAACATAAGTTTTGGATCATATTAACAAACTTATAGAAAATCTTATGCCATAATGATCTGAAAGCAGAAATTTTAATAATTTAAGGTTGTGTGTGCAAGAGTGTGCTCCTTCGAACAGACCAAGCACTATATCCAAGGCACTGTATCCCATGAGTGGGAAACAGAGATTTGAAAAATACCTGCAAATATGCTATGAGCATGAGCAATCTAATGCTTGGGGTAAAACCAAAATTCATGATACATGGCGCTGCTACCGAAAGGAGATGCCAAAGATGCTCCTCTATCTAGAGCAGTTGGGCTCACTGGAATTGCACGGATATCATCCAAGAGTTTGAAAACTCCGTGTGCTTCCTCTAGCACCAGTTTACTATAACAACTCTTCACACTGTGACTGATTAGACAGAACTTGAGCTTTCTGTCAATGAAAACTCTAGTCCTTTTGCTTCATGCTCCATGTCATGGATAATCTGGACAGCAATGCAGCCTGTGAGGATGGTAATTACAGGAAGAGAAACTTGAAAGACATGGATAATGATCGCTGTAATATTCTACTAGACCATCAATGGAGCAGCCATGTGACTGCACAGGTTTTAGGGTTTGGTTTTTTTTTCTTTTTCTTTTTTTTTCAATTTGAGTTATCATAACAAGAATGTTTCACTAACCTAAAAAGATGAAACAATAAAATAAGCCTTTCTATCCTGACACAATAAGGTATATCATAAAATAATTATGAGGTATACAGCATTTGATATACGGTAATGGAATCTTTTACATTTTACTGAACCTCAATTGCAACACATACAGAGAACAATCAACTATGTATATCAAATGATTATCACATTGTTATCATGATGATCATTTAAGTCCTGAGGAAATAAAGAAACAGCATCATATATGTGAACACTGACTTTACTCAAAACTACTCATTCTCAAGGGAAACAAGTCAAGCAGTTAAGGCAGAACTTCTGGCATGCCTCTAAGTAACCTCCCTAAAATAACATTAGCTCATCACACACACAGGTTTTTCTTTCAAGTAGAAAAACCTTCCATTTTTATTCTAGATATCACTATTACTGAAACCACTTTGCTTCTCTCCACTTTTAATTTTGATGTGCTAAATATCCTACTTCCAAATACCTGGACAAATAATATCGTTGAAGTTTACTCCATTCATCTATTAATTAACAGGTCCAAATGACAATAGTGAACAGTTATCAACTCATAGACTCAGATTTATAATGTAAAGTCACACAATGCTGTGTAACAGATAATAAAACAATCGAGTTCACCTTCACCCCACAATAAGAGTGTTTTAGAGCTAGTTTTCCGTCCCTCTTAATGTCTTAGGAAATCCTACCGATCACATGAGAAGTAGATTTGCACTGCAGGATTCCTGTACAGATGGAAGAATTTACCTCATTATTATATTTTTAAACACGTAAACATGAAATATTAGAAAGGTGAAGGTATAGGAAATATTTCATTTTAAAGACTGCTCACTCTATCATTGTCTTCATACACCTAGAAGTATCTCCTTAAAATTAAAATAACAATAATCACACCTGAAGACCTTGTCCATCTACGGTGACGGAATTTGCTCTTTGCATTTTGTTCCGTTCTCCTAGTTTGTTCATTTGCTGGGGACAACTCTTTTCTTTTTTCACTGTTGCCTGTCTTTCCTTGAAGAAAGAAGAGAAAAGGAGATAATGGAACATTTTAACACATAATATAACGCTATACAACTGCAACTGAGACTGTGCCTTTACAAAGTTGTTTTTTGACTAGAGAGTAATGTCAGATTCTGCTTTAATGAAAATGAGATCTCAGTCAAGTTATCACACAATGTCTGGACACTTCACATAACATCTGTCTATGCTTGGACATTCCATAATTGACTAAGCAATACATGGATGAAAAGTGTGTAGTCACAACACAAATTAATGCAATGATATGAAAAGATAATCTGACATTGCCAGGATGGCATTCTGAAACTTGAAAGCCAATAATACAAAATACTTGATTGTTTAATAAGCACATTGATAAGAGATCAGTAGTTTATCAAAATTTCATCCTAACTGCTAGCAAAGGTTAGATGCTTCAAGAGTACTTTACCACTTTGGCGAAATATACGTATTCTAAATGTACCATAACCAATTGGCCGAGTGGCTTTTTATAAAATACGTATTTCGTATCAGAAAGAAACCAGAATCTACATCAGATTTTAAGCCATTGGCACCTTTTGATGCTGATACACAACAGAATCAGATGGTTATTTGAAAGAGGAAAGCTCAGAAGTATGTTGCTGTAATCATATTTTCAACTGTTGTCAGGTCATTTCAGAGAATTCTGAATGGAAAAAAAAAAAAAGTCCTTGCTCTTTGTATCTCATTTATCCTATTTATAAACTGCACCCCGCATGTCCTTTTAGGTTGTCCAAAAATGCATCATAAATTAAGACAGCAGATGTTTATCAAATAGAATCAGTGTCCCCAGTCCCGACTGCACCCCAGTCACTTTCCTCACTTCACAAGTGCAAGGAGGCTTTAAACTAGTCAGGGGAATGGGTTGGCTCAAAGCTGCTGCACTAGAAAGGAGCATGAAGGACACTGTTGCACCCCCTGCAACTGCACTCAGTAAGCAGTTCATTAAACGTTACCGTTTACGTTCCATACCGGCCAAATCCATCTCTGTAGTACCTCAGATAAAGCCATAGGGATTGCACTAGCAATTAACCCATGCCACTCTTTCTGGAGCAGTTTAAACTGGTAAGAAACATTGACACAGATTCTCTGTCAGGAAGGGAATAACTCTCAGCTTAATACAGCGTCTTCCTAGTATTACTGGATTAACACAGATGTGGACCATCACTGGTTTTATACCATCTTTGGTTTCCTTAAATTTGGAGACTGACACAGCTTCCATCTAGTCCTGACGTAAATAGTGGCCCAAGTCATCCCAGGCTGCTTTGGGCAGCCAAATGCTTTGGGGAACTGTGGCAACCTGATCACATTTCCTATAAAAGGACTGACAAACCTATGCCACAGAAAAAAAAAACAGGGCAGTCTACACTATTTCCGATATGCAGTGACATTCGTAAGAGGTTAGTTAACTGAGCTCTTGGATGCTTTCAGTAACTTGATCAGTTCAAGAGAAGGTCCCAGAGTCTAGACTACAATACCATTGTATCCTAGACAATATCAAACAGAAAACAGTAAAAGCAATTAGAGCTATTCATCTCAACCCCAACCTTCAAAACACAGACAAGCGTCTAAGAAATCCCTGCCTAAGAAATCACCGACTCTGCGCTTATTTATTTGGCGATTTTTTAGAAACTAGAACTAGGATGAGGCATCCAAACAGAATAACATTTGTGAACTAACACGAAACATTAATGCACAACAGTATTGGTTAGTGCCAAGGATAGAAAGTAAGAAACTTCAGTACGAAGGAAGCTTCATACTTCATTACATATGTAAGAAGCAGCTTTGGGGTTTTAAACAACTTTGCGAATAACTACCCTTAACATTTTATAAAAAGTAAGCATACCATGTTATTCTATATTATGGCCAAATCTGGCTCTTGGATATTGCAATATCTTTTAAAAAAAAAAAAAAAATCAAATCAGATGTCAGTAATGCAGACACACAGCTAGTAAAAAAACCCAGATTTCTAACAAAAATCAGAGATGGAGAGCAAATTTTTAAAAGTCTAGAAAAATTTTAAGCTAAACAACGTATTTGTGATAGTTCAAAGAAAAAGTAACAGAAAGGAACAGATCCAGCACACTGAGTATATGCATTTAGAGAGGTTTAAAAAAATGCTGTTCAAAAGAGGCCTACTTATAAAGTGTGGCACTACAAATCTTCTTGCATATATCATGCTGTTACTTAGAGGAAAAGTATTTATACACTGCTGAGAACTGTCTTTACATAAAGGATGCTTACCATAGTGCCCAAACCTGCTGTTATCAATCATTCACCAGCAAAATGCAGTAACAATTACCTCAAAGTTTTGGATATTGGTTTTTTTTGTTCCAGCACGATACAGCTAGCAGCAAATACCCTCAGCTGGCCCTGGCCCTATGCTGCATCAGCAACATTCCTTCTCCAATTTATATTACCTGTCCCATAAGCAAAACAATTGCTTGACTCACAGACAAAGACAGCTTCTTCTAAGCAGTGACTACATAAGATTAAGCTATACACCTCACACAATATAAAGAAAAAACTGTATTCATGATACAGAATTGTCTAGTGTGTTATTAAAAAAAATCAAATATGGATACTTGACCTCATTATCATTGAAGGTCTGCTTCCTTCAATAATGATTTTTGAAGAAAGTACAAAAAAAGTATTTCGTATCACCCATCTTATATGCATATGATACCACAATACATGTCACCCCATGTACCAATAGTGCTCCCTGAAACACTTCTGAAGAAGCTGATAGGAGATTCTAGATTTCCTAGAGTTTTATATCCTATAATTTTTAGATATGTGTCATACTAGTGAGGATCTGACTCACAGTTTGTATGAAATAATATAATAATGTGTATCTTAATTCTACTGAATACATCTATTAATGGAACACAAAAAAGATTTACCATTTTATTAAAAAAATCTCTTTTAAATGTTCTTGCACAGATACTTTGTTTTATATATGAAACAGAAAGCTGGCTTTCTAATCCAGTCGTGCATGACTGTTTGACTAACTTTCTTTCAGGAACTATAACATTACTAAGCTATCCAAGAGTGTCAGAAACTAAACAGTGTCATTTTTTAATGAGATAATAACAGTTTAATAAAATCATCTGTGGATAATAGCCTGCAAATTCTAGCAATTTTAAGACAAATTTAACATGCATTGAATAAATGGTTTTACAAAATGCAAAAATTTATTTTTCAAGGTAAGAAATGTTTCTACAACAGCTGTGCTGTATTTAATATCTTGTTAATTAAAGCATACATAATGATAAATGTATCTGTGAACCATTTTGTTTAATGGACATGCATGAGGTTGATAGAGATACTGAATACAGTATTTTAAAAGCTATTGTACATTTTGATGGCTCAAAGAATCAAGCTTTTCTGTTCTTTTGGTATGTGCCAGAGCACATACCTTTCAAAATAGTACTTACCACAACAAAAATTTTTTCCACCCATTTTTGCACCTCTCATGCCTTCTTTCCTCCCCTTGAACTCCCACTTTGAAGTCAATATCCATTAACTGGAGCTTCTACCATTCAGTATTGCTCCAGAGAAATCACTGTCAGATAAGAACTATTCAATTATATCTACCCCTTATTCATCCAAATAAGAAAAAAGAAATTATAAATAAGACAGGGCCTTTCAAATGACAACACAGAATACCATGTCTAGATTTTTAGTTCAGCCCCAAAATGCACTTTCATAGCAAGAAGAATGCACAATATCATGATCCGTTAGTACTCGTGCGTACATGGATGCCTCCCATTACGCACCTCAGGGAGCAAACCTCCTAAGGTGGGTAGCGTCTGTTGGAAAAAGAGAACGTTAGGCTGCAACACCAAACAGCTGGGACAGCAAGGGACATGGAGAGAGCACTCACGAGGAACATTACCTTGCAGCAGTTGTAATTAATAACAAATGTACATGGTGCTTTTTTTACACATTTGCACAACCATACTCCCCCAATGTTTTGGCTGTCATATTATATAATATATATTCTGGGAAGTATGTGTGGGATCATTTTATCATCAGCTAAAAATATTAGAAAACCTGAGGACTATATTATTTCGAATAGTAAAAAGAGATACTTGGTACCTGGGGAGTATTCCTTTTATTTTATCTTCCAAGTCTTTGAATCCTTATCCAAAGTGAGGAATTTTATTTAAAAAGCTTTCTTCTACTGCAATTGACAAGCTATACAACATTCATCCTCAAAAAGTATTTCTACTCTTTCTTTATATAGAGGTACAGTCTTTTGCTTTACACAAAACACTGACATTTAGAAATATCATACTCTATCATAGCTGGTATAAGAAAACAGATGAATAGTAACTAATGGCTTACCAAATAGTTACCTCTTTAGATTTTAACTGCTAACACAGAATCCAGTGCCAATGCAACAAAAATTGCTTCTTCTCACCTTGTCTCTTAATCAATAAATGCAAATCTATTTTTCTGGATTATTTCATACACAGCTGAGATTATTTAAAACAATTTATTTTATACAATAAACAACAAATTATTTGCATTAAATAGGATTGTAAAGCTATTAGTGAATGGTTAATACTATTACACAGTTTGTCAATAGTAACTACTGAAAACTTGAGATTACTTCTGTATGATATTACTTCTTTTATACTATATGCCTTCAGATGAGACATATACCCTAAAGCCCAACTTGAGGATGGGGGTGCATGAGGAGAGAACCAAATTCTATGTTAATATTCATAAACTGAAACAGTTATAAAAAATAACTTCTTTTAGAACTCAAACTTGAACTTGAAAGATACTGATCAGGGGAATCCGGACATGGAAGGTCAGATGGAATGCACGGAATACCGTGTAAAGGTATCCTTAAAAGTCTGCAGGATGAAGGCCATGGAAGTTTAAATATGCCACGTGAATACCAAACTGACACTTTGGGGTTTTTTTAAGGAACTTGGATGACGGTTGCTCCATGATTCCTTAGAGCTATTTTGTTTAATGACATGGGAATCTCCAAGGGATGCAAAACCTGTGTTTTAATATGCAATGAAATATTAGAATAGGTACTCCTAGACTGTCATTTTGTAAACCTATGTGGTATTCAAGACCTTGCTTACAAAAATTCCATTCCATGCAATTTCCGTCCATAGTTATACAATAACCAAAGAGAATCAAAGATTCAGACACCCTGAAAACTGCAAAAAAAACCCACCACCATTACCCCAAAACCCTGAGGAGCAATCTAACTGTAATATCTATTAGACATCACGTCCAACTAACTATGATTTAGATGTGCTAAAATATTTTTTAAAATTACTTTATAAAATTTTCTCCACTTTTCGAGCTCTAACCCTGTGTACATACTAATCAGAAGGGCCAATATTAGGACACCACATCATGCTGCCTTGAAAGCTCATAGAGCTGTAGCACAATACCTAGCTTTACATCCATGGGCTGAAACTAAAAATCACCCTGTGGACAAGATTAATGACCAATTCACTAGCTAAAATATTGTCCAGTGAGCTGCACATGCGCATACTATAAAGGAAAGATAAGGCTTCTAATTTATCTGAAAGCTGTCTTGATAGAAACATTTGCAGCTAGGAAAAAAAAAAAAAAACACATTATGTCAATCAGAAGGAAGTATTTTGTCACCTATTATACTAGTAGTCAAAATACGTAGAAAAAGACAAGGCTGGAACGGAGACGTCGTTTGAGAATACCTTTCGAAACAGCTGATCACAAGACTGTTCTGAACAAGGAATCGCTACATGATAACTTTATATATATACTTTGTTTAATATGTCATAATAATGATGTAAAGAATTGTGCATCAAAATCACAATCAAGTATTTCTCATTTAGCATGTTGGCCTTAGCTCATTTAGTTGGCTGAAGATAACTTGCCTTATATCTTGCACCCATTCAATATATGCATCAACATGCACCAATAGTAGAGCCCAAAACTTTTAATTTAATTTGCAACCTAAAATGAACTTGGGCTATTGGAGGCAATTATATACATTGTCCAAGAAAGACAAAAAAGTTGGAAAAGAATTTTGAAAATAAAAATACGTTAAACTCCAATAGGGGAGGATGTAAGGAATAAACTTAGGGACAGACAGTAGCGATGAGTTGTGGGCAGGCAACTAGATATAACTTAAAATGATTGAATAGCTGCCATTTCTGTTTATCAGCATCTTATTATTTTAACATTGAACTGTGTTTGCTGAACAGATAATTAGTTAGGAAGATACATTTTCCTCCAGGGCAATTATTAATTTCCTTCTGACTTCAAAGAAATGAAAAAGCTCTTAATGTAGATAAGCACACCATTATATTTCAAGTCTGGTGTAGATTCTCAGAGAACTGAATCTGCACTATGATACGCAATTGAAGAAGAAAAACGTGTTTTGTTTTCTTTTTTAAATCTGTTTCAATTGCTATGTCATTACCTAAAATTCAACAACCAGATTTAAATTCCTCCCCCCATAGAAGCATATATGTTCAAATAACTGTTTTTTTGTAGTATCTCTGTTCAGAAACTCAGAATAAGGCTAGTACTCAACATCAAAGGATCGAGTTGCTCAAAGATGCTTACACACTGCACTGACTTTCTGCGCTCCATGTTGAGTTTGGATTCAATTGAGTTAAAACTGATCTCTACTATAATAAAAACCGAAGAATCATTTTAGGATTAAAAACTGGAAAAGGGATTAAGAAAGCTCATTCTTCAACCAGCAACTGCTAATTCCCTTTTTCTTTCTCTACATCTCTGTTTTCCTATGTGAGTAACATCTACCTACCTCAGAGGAAAACAGTATTAGTAAAACATATTATCAGGCATGGAAAAAATACCTATTGAACTATGTTGCAATTATAGCCATTAGCTATTTCATCTAGTCTCTCTAAATACTAGTAGTCAAAGAAAATTCTTGTACAATATTCTCAACTTTAATTCTGTATTATTTTTTGCCAATATCTCAACACACTTGCTATATTTACACATAAGTTTGAAGCGACAGATCATAATGTATATTGTTTAGTTGTACAAGGCACGTTGCTTAGCTAAAACATTTGTAATCTGCTGTGTATATCATTTTATGTGCCTAAATAGAACTAGTTATAAACAAAAAATTTTTGAACATTTATGTTCTTGTACAATAAAATGCCAAACCAACCCAAACCCAACCCAAATCAGATACATCTCTTTCCTCCACCAAAATAAATAGCCGTTTATATTTTAAAATAAGAGGTCAAGAGAATTTGATTTATGATAGTATTTTATATATTAGATGTATATAAACAAATTTATTCTATGACGTATAAAACCTCTCTATATAATTGTATATATACTGAATTGTATTTATATAAATAAACTTTATGCTTAAATGATTTTATCCTAAAAAGCTACAAGCATCTTCACTAGACAAAAGAAAAGCCAAATTCATTCACAAGAGAAAATAAACAAAAAGTGAGTTGTTCCAAACTTTTTATCATGATAACCAATTTGTCCCAGAATGCTGAACAACGAAGTTGAAAATGGAACACAAGGAAACGTATCCGACTTTAAATTTTATTTCTTTTACTTCTTGTCTTCAATATTACACCAGACCCTCCCCTTTGAAATAAACTGGTTACTATGGAGACAGTGATAACTGCCATATAGTAACGCTCACACCGTAATCAGAGTACCTTATGTTTTACAATTTATTCCATAATTCTCTTTTTATTCCATGCTTAACAGTTTTAATTATAGTTTTCAAAACCAATGTTAGAAATCAAGTAAAAAATAATTCATTGTAAAACTCACATAAACAATAGGAGACTCAAAATCATCATACATTATGAAATAAATATAAATTTATTAAATAGTAGGCTTTTATTGGTTGATTTGTCATCACCCAAGGCTATATCTATTTTGGTGGTAAACAGAAAAATCTAATTACTTTTCTACAAACATAAATACGATTTGAACATCCTATGTGTTCATCAATAATCGGAGCAAAGTAAAGGAAGGCATGAAGGAAAGAAACCAAAATGTATGTTAGCATTTTTCCCTTTCTGCCTTATAAAGGGGCGAGGGGAGAGAAGCTGTATCATAAGGAGAGACCAATCTTTTTTCTTCACGACTCACTTATCTCATTCCAACACCCAGATTTTAACCCAGTTATAATCTAATTCTGTACTCTTGGTAGGCTAGGATTCAACTGAGTTAAAGATTTTTTACACTCACTGCCAGTCAACCTTATCATGAACTTTCATTCTGTGCATGTAATTAATTGGGTCCAATGAACAATATCAGCACTGAGTTATAGACTTTTTCCCCCCACCATATAATTAGAATATAATTACCCACAGGATATCAGAATGATGCAAAACCTTTCCTCTAAATGTGCCCTCATTAGGAAACAAGTCTCAATGTACATTTATTCAATCAGTATGAATTAATTAAAACGTTACCGAAATAAAAGAGAGTAACATTAAAGTGTATCTGACATCTATTAAAAGACTATCACTTGAGATCTGCACACACAGTTTATAAGAAAACTCATTTAACTTGAACAAAAAACTTCACTGTACAACAAGCCTTATATACGGTAAACAGAAAAGTAAAAGGACCAGTTTTAAAGTTGACAGACTACATTTTACCAAAATATTTAAAAGTATTGCAGTGAGATAAGAAAAATCTTTATATGGCATTGAATCTAGACAGATACGTGATTCTTTCATGTTATACACAGTATTAACTGCATGAGTTTCTCCATGGTTTCTTTTTCAGCTGAGAATGTAGCTTAACATAATTAGGAATAACATTTTACAAGTTCCATTTTGTGCAGTTTTGAGGATGGGAGCCCTCTTATTTAACCTAGACCAGTCATCTAACTTTCAGATGACCAGGCATTTAGGTTCCCTCTCCAGCCATTAGGAGAAGGGACAGTATGAAAGAATCATGCCAGTCACTTTATTTTAGAGGAATCTCTCTTGTGTCTAAAGAGACCCTAAATGAGTAATTTAGAACAGTCACCTGACCTGAGATGGCTATGTTTAGGTATGTTTAAGGGGGAAAGAAATCACCCTTTGTGATATTACAATCAGGAAGGGTAGGTTTTTTATTTATTCTTCACAGTTGCAGCAGTGATTTTGGACATCAATGGATACCTAGGAAATGGAAAAACTGAGAGGATATGGACCTGAACAACAAATTGCAGCTGAGAGACCAATTTGGTAGCTCTGGTATAATACACGGTGCTATGAAATGCAATTTATGAAACAATTCTCTTTGTCTCTGCAGTAAGAGTCGAGGCTGGACTTCACAAGAACTGAAGAAATGAGACATGCTGGATGAGAAAGGTAAAAATATGAATGTCCTTAGTTCCACAAAAGAGAAAAAATGAGAAGGGATTTAGCCTGTACTTTTGAAGAAAAACTTATGAGAAGGCATCTTGGTCTGAGATGAACTCTGACAGTTTTCTGGAAGAAGTCTGGACTACCAAAGTTACAGATGGAAGGGAAGGCCAGAACTTTTGGGAGATCAAAGACACAAGATTTTTCAACTTGGTATTTTCCCACAACTCCTATAACTTATTCTATGGGAGAAGGAGATACGTTCTTCTCTGATAGCTCAAAATACTCAAGGATAAACCTGGTACAGAAAGCATTGTGGTTGTCTGCTTTTCTTTACCTTCCACATATATGTAGCATTGCAAGAATGTTATTGCTCAGTTGATCATTGAAGCTAAATATGTGTCCTAGGTGAAAGACCCCTTCCACTGTCAGGTATATCAGATTTGATATGTCTGAACACATCATTTCTATTAACAGATACACTTACTATTGTACCTTTAGCCAATTTTGGCATGGATGTATTCATTGTTTTTGCTGTCATTATTGAGAGTGCTGGTTTCACATACACTGAAGTATTATGTTTCTCAAAAGGAATCCCCGTAACAGGAAATGGGAGAAAGTAATTAAAAAATTACTAAGATAAATAATATGTACACTGTAATCAATCATTTCTAGGAGGAATTCCTATTAGCTAGGTCACTGATGTATTACTTGTAATGTAAGTATACTCAGGATTTTAATGCATTTTTGGAAGAAACTACTAGATGAACAAATATACTACGAAATTATAAAGTTCCCATTAAATTACAGTAAAATATATTTTCCATTCCTAACAATATACATTGTGCTGAAATACATGTTTTATGTTACATTATTAGTATGTAATACTGAAACATAATTTTGATACAGGAAAACATATTTACTTCTGCTTATGCTTTCAAAATTTGCAGATAAAACAAACCTATTCAAGGGTGATTTGACTCGAGTGGTTTTATATATCCTCTAAACAACTTAACTAAACTCCAATTGTGAAATGAAAATCTTAATTCCTCTATCTCTCTTCCTCTCTTGAAAAGAAAATGGAGTTACGCAAACATAATTGAAGATGAAATTTCATGCTGAGGCTTTATTCAGTTTATAAGAATGGCAAACAACAAATAACAATAAAACGAAAACAGTAACAAAGTCATAATTTCTACGTCTTAACTTTTAAAGAATGACCTAAAATTCTGAAAATTAAATAATATAATGCAGAATGTAATCATCCAACAAACTTAAAATAATATTTTACAATTATTACTCAGAACTTATTCAGATAATATCAAAATACTATTACAGACAAACTGCAAAACTACTCTCATGACTTTTTAAAAAATGTTTCATAAATATTAAAGCCAGCTTTCCGTTGCTTTACCTTCATTGACAGCAATGGAATAGTCCCAGTTTACTCAAGTAGATGGCAAAAGTCTAGCATCCACCCCTTAGCAGATTCATACACAAACAGCCAAAAGAATTAATCAGAAAACAAGTAATTTACAATAGGCATGAATATTATTCTTAATGATCAGAAACAGGTTTAAGATTAGAAGGTATATTTTTTTTGTTTTTTCTCCGTGCAAGAAATCATTCTTTCTAAAGTTCAAGCATTTCTTACTCTTATTACTAAATACATTTAAAGTAAGAGGACCACACGTCTGTTCTGTTATAAATATTATGATGCTATGACTTTCATCAGCATAAAACATCCAATTTAATATATGAATACATAAGTTAATTCCAAAGTTCTTTTTCATAATAAACTGGTCAGCTCTTTTGTATAAAACCTACACACAGCATGCATTTTTATTTTCATTGAATTGAGTTATTGTTTTTGTGGACAGAGAAATTTACTGTCCACGACTGCAGAATAAAATATACCATAATGTTGATGCATAGCTTACTGCAAGACCAGTGTCATCATTCTAGGTAACCTCCGGCTTAGATCAGAGACCTCAGCATTGCAGATATACAATATGCATCACAAGCAAAAACTGTCCATAAGAATAACTTCATTATTCTGGGAAGTTGGATCTATAAAAGATGTAAAATGTAGAAGTGTTCTGCCTATACAGTTTCTAGTAAGTACAGTCTGAGTAAGTGATAGAACCTGAGTCAGCTTCAGTTATAATATGCCCTACAGAAAGTTCATTTTCACATGAAGGAAAATGCAACATGCAGAGGATAAAGCACGCTTGTGCCTATAAACTCATCAGCCAGGATTACCCATTGTGTTTAAGGTTCACACAGTTCTGTTAATTTAACAAATACTCTGGCAGTCAGTACCAGCATCGTTCTAGCCGTTACCTATGACAAAGGATTACATCTGAAATAAGCAAATGGACAACTCACCAATACCACTGGGCAGATTGATGTGGGTGGCAAAATATGGTCCTTCAAAGGTCCACAGTCACATTCGGGTTTTAGATGTGAAGCACATTTGTTATGCAACTATAGGAAGACAGAAAATGAAGATTCAACTTAGACATCTGACTACTACACTCCAGGAAAATGGGCATCCTAGAATGGGCTGAGTTTAATTAATCTAATTATTACTAGAGTACTACAAGGAAAATGAAACACACTGCAGTGGAAAGCCTCTTAGGATTGGCAAAACCAATGAATTTATATTGAAGCAAAGAACAGTGGATCAAAATATTTTCCAGTTTGGAAACTGCACATGTGGTCCAACACCCAAAATGAGAACATGGCGTGGCAGTACAGTAACATTAGCATAGTATTATTGGTGATCAAAACCTTCATTTCAGAAGACAGCTTCTTGCACTGAGCCAGGAACTTCTGTTTTACTACCAGTAGGCAATCTAGGGTAATTCAGGGCGGCCTTTGGCATTATTGGTATAATTCTGCTTCCTACCTGAAGCTGATAAAGTCACTACTGAGTCAATTGTGATGCTGCAGTATCTATGAAAATATATCTGAAATATAAGAGAATAATGTAGGAATATCTAAGCGCTTTAAGCTATATTGGGGAAATTTTGGTCTTGACTGAATCCATGTTCAGGCTTCCATTGACTGCTGAGGAACCTGAATTACTCTCCTTTTTCTACTTTATTCTTAGCACTCATCCAGTTTTCATGAAAGCAATGAGAAAAGTTCTACTCTGAAAACATGGAAAGATATCCTCAGGTCTGCCGACTGAAGAGCATTGGCTTACTTCTGCATTGTTAAAAAGGTGGAAGGGAAAAATGTGTATATAACATCAACATAAAATGCCAACAAATAACGATATATTTATTGAAATATTCTGCATTAGCAGTCAAGAGTTCTTGTTGATATTTTAGGATTTAACTCAATTCAAATGTCTCTAAATAGAATATTTCAACATATATATCCAGCCACACAGCACAAAGGCACAGTTGTGTGCCTGGATCATGCAAAGCATTCACATTTAATTGGTATACTTCGCAATATTATTAGAGATAGCCACAATAAAATACAAGTTCATATTGTGAAATTTGGTGAAAGTTTATTATTTTGGACTCAATGATCTTAAAGGTCTTTCCCAATCTAAATGATTCTATGATTCCATTTCTGCATTGATTCAACAAATTGTGCATTAAGTTCTTCAGGCAACATGCATTTCCCATAGAGATGACTATTTTATTTTTTGAGAAGATACGTATATTTGCATTAAAGAAAAATAATCAGGATAATAACTATCAGAAATTTTGAAGCAAAAATCTTATTTAATGAGTGATTTAACTAGTATAATAGGCAGCATACAGCATTAGTTCAACAGGTCCAATAGATGATATAAAATCTGTAATTCAATGTCTGCATCTGTAAATCACATTTTCCCAATGACTGATTCATTTTCCCTTAGATGATTTAACTATGACAGCATGCACTCTATTAAAATTACAATAAAATTGTACCAGTTGCTGATGTATATAAGCTTTACCAGTAATATGGTCTTCATAAAGTTATCTGGTGCAGTTAATGTTGACATAACATTTCTGAATTTTGAACTGAATGGCACCTAATATTAGCTTTGTCCATATTAATTTATACTGCAAAGTTACCTTTTCAGGCAGTTACTTAGCAACAGAAAATAAAAGTCTAACGAGTTTCGATTTATTCTGAGTATTAAAGCCTTATTGTGAGGGTATTTTGGTAGCCCTGTAATCTAAATCATTTGTCATGCTAATTCTCTGCCTCAGTGGTAAGGCTACTTGTACCATAATTAATGCACACCAGGCCATGTTACATCAAATAAAAGTATCTTCACACATTCAGTGGTAATTAGCAGCTTTGCTACTCGGTGGCATGCAAACTTATCTATGAAAAAAATAGCTTAATCTTCTTATTAGTCTCTGCTGATCTTTGACAACAGAATTGGCACATAACAGACAACAGAAATGGTAGAAGATATGTAGCTTTAATGAAAATAACACTTTGACACAATGAAATAAAATACCATGCATCTCTTCTCAAAAAAAATGTTTTAGCAGATTTTAAATACACTTCCACAAAATTCCCTTACTCCAAACCTAGCTCCTTTAGAATATAACCTCCCTCACAACCAGATGTCTGCAAAGTAGGAAAAACCATATTTGCTGGAGAGAAAACGAGGAAAAAAACATTTAAAAGACTGTGGTAGAGAATTACAGAATATAAGAAAGAGAGAATCATGGGCCTGGCTGAGAACTCAGTATAACAAGCCTCCTTAGTGAAAAAAATCTCTAAATTTCGGGATTTGATTCAGTTATTTGAGATTAGAAGTGATCCTATCAAGTTGTAAGAAGGAGAGATATTTAAAATGCATGAAAGAGGCTCAGAATTAGTTGCGTAATAACTAGCATCCTTTTACACTACAAAAATGTCAGCCACAAGCTCTAAATGTCTTGTTCTACAAGAAGTTGAAAACATACGAAGGATGTGATGATAATTATAAAACTTCAGAATACCCATTCAAAAATCAATTATCTGTTAGAAATTTAAAGTGCTATTTTTTTCAGTAATAAAGTTTTTACTATTAGCAAAGAAAGTTATTGCAATAGAATATATAGAATACACAGAATTTCAAGAAATGTGAATAAGAGATTGAAAAACAAGTAATTTGCAGTATTTTTAAAACTTTAAAAATACTCATTTTTCACTTATGTGTCTAATTTACACCTGAAGCCATAAAAATTAAATAAAAAGATTAATAAAGTTATTTTGAAAATACAACATTACTTTTACAGCAAATAAAAATCTTTAAATTACTGATGGAAATACAATTGCAAAATTGTAAACCTCAGTGCCAACACTTTCAATTTTGGCTGTCAAAAAACATAGGCCCGTTTTTAAAAAAAAAAAGGCCCATTTTTAATTGGAATTTTGATAGATATTTAAGCATTTAAATACGCACACAAGATATTTAAATAAGATATCTTTAAAATAATTTAGCTTCTTCCTTCACAGTGATGTCAATGATAAATCATTCCTTGATATTTCCTCAGTGAATATCAGTTCTTATGGAAGTCCTCTAAATCTTGATGTGTATCTTCAAGAAGTAAAAGGCCTTTACAAATCTAGTCCAGATTCACATGAAATAATGGGAAAATAATTTTTCTGAAGAGCTACAGAATTTGCAACTTCCTTTGACTTTAAGAGGGATCCTTACATAATATATATTTTGTGAATGATATTTACATATTATTCAGATCTAAACACTTCTATATCTAGAGCGGAACACTTATTTATCTATCTAAACACAGATAGCCATTGCCTAAATTTAATTATCAGCATGCAAAAATTTTGGATTGGGTGTTTCACTCTCTACATAAATTATCCAAATTTTGACAGCAATCTGGACTACATATTTGCTTTCTTCTAAAATATTGGGTTTTAAGTAATCATAACAGCTTATCACTGAAAGTATCCTGGATCTATTTTCTTTGATGATGTTTCATATTTTGTATTCTTGTGTTAAGAAAACATGTCATAAAACATCCAAACTTGTATGTTGAAAACAAACATTCACTAATGCCTCAGTCTCATATTATTATTTAAAACACTGAACAAACAACTGCTGTTCCATAACAATAACAATAATAATAATGATATCAGCAAAAAAGCAAAAACCCTAGAAGAAGGCTGAATCTCTCCCCATTTAGATTTAAATCCTGCCCTGGCTAGAAACAGAAATACTGGCATTGCTCCTTCTAGCATGAAGATCTCACTTGTAAGGGCAGTGTTCCTTGAATGTCATTAGTTCCAGTTATTGGTTCCTGC